TCCCATACCGTATTACGCGTGCGGAGGTCTTTATACTTAATCTATTTTGTGGGAGGCGACGACACGGCGACATACAATATCACATCGATGCCATGACACATGGAGTGGAGCTAACTATCACAGTGCTTTCCCTGGATATTGCTATACACCATATGCTTGGGGACCTTACGCGTGCCTCCACCATCGCCGAGTGGACGGAGCACATCCGAAGCCACCGCGTATGGGTCACAGGCGGAGGACCGCCATGTGAGACCTGGAGCGCAGCTCGCTGGAACCCTGACGGGCCCCCACCCCTACGCACTCACAGCCACATGTGGGGAGTGCCGTGGTGCACACAGGCGCAGCGTGAACAACTCAGGGTAGGCAACATGTTACTCTTCACCATAGCACAGCTCTTGGCCGAGCACGTACGTGCAGGCACTAGCGGCTGGATGGAGCACCCACCACCAGCGCCTTGGAGACCCGAGGCGCCCTCAAGCTTTCACTGGATGCCCCTCCGAGCGCTGGAAAGCTGCCCCCTGGTCAGCACCATCCAGTTCGACCAGTGCACCCACAGAACAGAGGACCCACGACTACACGGCAAAGCTCCGACCAGGATCCTTGCGCTCCGACTCCCGACCATGTATGGCCTCCTGAAGGCCAACAACAACGGCAGGTGCAATCACGGCCCCAATGCCCATGCAGTACTGCAGGGCAAACACGAGGACGGGACATTCAAAACGAGCAGCAAAAAAACGTACCCACCATCAATGTGCAAGGCCATAGCACAGGCCATGCACGACAGCATCATGGACGCATATCACAATGGAATGGACGAGCCATCAGACATGCTACCACAGTCCACGCAGGATCACAACGACTCCCGCATCCGAGAATTCTTTGTACCGTGGTCCGACGAGGAGTGCTTCTGGGAGGCCCCAGACTACGCCGGCAAGAAGGGTACAAAACACAGAGTGAACCCTGAAGCTTGGCGTTGGGCTCCACCCAGGGAGACCAGCGAAGCCTCCGCGCTCCTCCCCTTCCTCTGGCGCCTCCGCTGCCCCCCCCGAGCCTCTGGAGCTTTTCCCGCCCGGGGCCCCCGAGGACCGCCCGTCCCAGGCTGCCGCGGTCATCGAGGCGGCCGAAGCCGCCACGGACGTGAGGAGCCGGCCAGCGGCAGCCGCCAGGTCAGACGCCCTAGCTGCCCCTCCTCCGCCCCCCCCCCTGCTCACTGCAGAGCAGTTGGAGAGAATTCGTCGCAACAGAGAGGCCGCCAGGGAGATCAAGCGCAGACGGCGCGCTCCCTGGAATTTCTCTGCCATCTTGTGGCCAGAGTAGCCTCTCACTCTGGGGGCCCATGTGTGGCCCCAGAGCCTATGCAAAGTCATAGCACGCCCACACGCGTCGAGACACACAGAGCACGACCCAGCGTCCCAGCCTGCGTCTTACCTACCTACCTCCTCTTCCTCCTCCCCCTCTTCCTCCTCGTCTTCGTCGTCGCGGTTTTTCGCGGCCCTGGGACCCAGGGCTGTTTTTCGCGGCCCCTGGGCTCACGAGCGGCGTCAAGAAAAACACGCACGCAATTCCGATGGGGGCCTATAGAGTTCCGATGGAGGCCTTTAGAATTCCGATGGAGGCCTAAATAGAATTCGTATGGAGGGCTATAGAATTCCGATGGAGGCCTAGATAGAATCCCCATGGAGGCCTATATAATTCCTATGGGGGCCTATAGAATTCCTATGGACGCCTATGGAATGTGTATGGGTGCCTATAGAATTCCTATGGAGGCCTATAGAACTCCTATGGAGGCCTATGGAATTCGTATGGAGGCAAATAAAATTCCCACAAGGGACCTATATAGAATTCCGATGGATGCCTATAGAATTCCTATGGAGGCCTATAGAATTTCGATGGAGACCTATAGAATTCCTATGGGGGCCTATAGAAGTCCTACGGGGGGGCTATAGAATTCCTACGGAGGCCTATAGAATTCCGATCGAGGCCTATAAAATTCTTATGGAGGCCGATCAAATTCGTACGGGTGCTTATATAGAATTCCTATGGAGGCCTATAGAATTCCTATGGAGGCCCATCGAATTTCCTATGGAGGCCTGTAGAATTCCCATGGTGGCCTGTAGAATTCCTATGGAGGCCTATAGAATTCCGGTGGCGGCCTATAGAATTCCTGGGGAGGTTATAGAATTCCGATGGGAGCCTATAAAATTCATAGGAAATCCTATTAGGGAATCCTTGGCGCCCCCAGGAGACCCCCAGAGAGGGTTGCTCGGTTGCTCGGTTGCTGGGGGGGGGGGGGGGCGGCCGGGGCTCCCACGCGCGCCTTTTCCAACAACAACAACAACAACAACAACAACAACAACAACAACAACAACAACAACAACAATCATTTTACCCGAACGCTCAGTGTTCTCCCCAGTGCCAGGGTTTTCATGCGACGCCAGCCAATACCCCCACTTCGTGGGGGGGCAATGCAAGCTCTACCAAACATCCACACGACTCTCGGGAACCACCCACACCCAGCTTCCCGCCCTATGACGTCAGGACACTTCACTTCGTGGCGCGCGGACGATCGTGGATACTACACTGGCGTGGAGTACACACCCGCAGAGGTTAATCACTTGTTTGGGCCCCGCATGTGCCCCGCATCGTGCATTTGTTGCGCATGATATGAGAGCAAGACAGAGAGAGAGAGAGAGCAAGACAGAGAGACAGAGAGAGAGAGAGAGAGAGAGCAAGACAGAGAGCCAGAGGAGAGCTACGGTGCGATTCGTGTGATTTTATGATGCGCGGTGCTAAAATTCTTAAAAACCCAATGATTTTTGGAGATTTCGGCGTGCGCGCGCGAAGAAAAAACGAATGTGTCCCGCATGGTATTATTTGACAGGGATGATGGCCCTGGCAGGTGCGCAAACGTTGTCGCAGAAGTTCGAAAAAGTTGCTCGCAAAAGCCCGTTTGACAGAATTGTTTAAAAAGTGTTGGTTTTCCTACGAATCCGCAAGAGCGCGCGGAAGAACATTTTGACATTTTTTTCTTAAAAAACCATTGGGTTTTTGATGTTTTTATGTTAAAATCGTTACGAAACCTAAGGTTTTGGAAGGATTTCGTCTTGCGCGCACGAATGTCCACTTTACCTTATTTTTTGCAAGGGATTCTTGCAATTTGATCAAGTAAGAACAAGAATTTTCATTTTATAGTGTTTTTTGCAAGGGAAAACGGAGTACAACAAAACAACCGGATCCGGTAATAATTCACTTTTCTGAAGCTTTCGCTAAAAAATGATGAAAATGTAGCTGCGGCCTAGGTTTTGGAGGGGGGTCGCGCACCAGGGGTCCCAACAATAATTATTCTTTAGAAGTAATAATGTTCAACAACAACAACATGAACAGACGTCGATCCTCCTCGATCCTCGATCCTCGATCTCGATCCTGGGTCCTCGATCCGTGATCTTCCTCGATCCTCCTCCTACCCGACGTCGTGGTTTTTCCACAAGGTGGATCCCGGGAGGTCTCGACCTCTTCTCCTGGGCCAGCCCAATTATCATCCTGTACCGTTGTCCTGACTGCTTGCTTGATGGCCCCAAAAGGCTCGGCCAGCGCCCCCGGAAAACCGAAATTACCTAAAGCCTCTCCCCGTATCTCCTCGATCGTTCTCCTAATTACCCCTCCTCAGGGGGAACGTCAGGGGGGGGGGAAGCGTCGAGCTGGGATCGGCGATACATCAACGATAGATCGGCTAAAAGCCTCGATAGCGAACTCGCACGTTCCTGGGCGGGGTGGGTTATCGGCCACTGTCGGCGCTGAACTGGCGATTGGGGGTCGATGCGCACCCCCTGAGGTTATCCCCCCCTCTAACCTTGACCCTGGCTTCCGGGTCATAACTCGGCTCTCTAGCGGCCGTTCGGGACGATTCGGGCACCCCCAGAACGCTCTCGGCGAGGCGCAGCCGATGGAAGGCATCCTGAGTCTGAAAATTCGCCGCGAACCGAGGGCAACGTCCGAAAACCTCGAACCTCGAACCTCGAACCTGCCGTCCCCATTTGAGCCCATCCTCTCTACTCCCCTGCCTCGCCTCCTCCCCTCCCCGCAAGCCCCACTGCCTCCGCAAAACTCCCCCAGCACCCGCCCAGGTAAGCACCAACCTGGGGCTGCCAGGGCCCTGCCGCGACGCCTGGCAGCCCCGCTTGGTGGTTCCCTCAAACCCGGGCCAGCGGCAGGGGGAATACATTGGCTCCTCTCCCAGAGCCTGCACGGTCGGACCTATCGGAAAGAAGAACGTCCTTCCAGAACATGAGAGCCTCTTCCGGCCAAAACACCTCAAACCGTGAAATCACTCGAGAGTGCCCTCCCCCAGTCCCAAAAACACGGAAGAACATCAGGGTACCCTCCCCGAACCGACCTCAATCTCATACCTCGGCCCGATCGTGTCCCCGCCCTGCAGGTGCCCCTCCCGACCTCACCCCCCCAATCCCCCATGCCTGGCCCGCGCGGCCTCTCTGGAGCCCATGCCCCGCCCGCACTGTGCCCCAGGCCTCCCGCCTGAGCCTGTTTTTCTTTTGTTTTAAGCAAGTTTACTTGCATGGCGTTCGCCCCCCCCCCCCCCTCGCCCCTCTTCAATCGAACGCGAGCGTGCAAGTACCTTTCGACTTGCGTGATTTCCGCACGTCAAGTCGTTTGCTGCTTGCTTCAGGTTCAGCCCCTCCGTCCATACAAGTACGGCAAGTTCGTGTCGTGTCGACCCCGGCGTTGGCTCCTGACACAGCGGGGATCGTTGAACCTTGAACGATCGGCCGCTTCCGCAACGTCCGATCGTTCAACAACGACCGATTCTGGGCCGCCGCCTACGTTCAACATGGAACGCCCGCGGCGGGGTCTCCGCCGGTCGACACGGCGCGAACCTACCGTAAACTTGCCAGCGTCCAACAAAAAAAGGGCCCCTCTGCCTGCAGCACCTCCCCGACCCCGTCCCGTGGGGGCCGGGCCCCCCGGGCGCGGCCGCGCGGCACCCTTGACGGGGGTGGCGGCGTCGAGGATGCGGAAGGCGTCGCAGTGCGGCGGGGGCTGGCCCAGGCCGCCTGGCGCGCGCTTTCTTGTCCTGCTTTCGACGTCAGGCGAACTTCGCTGGCCGGGATCTTGGCGTCTGTGCGGCAAAGAGGCGCGCGTAGTTATATAAGCCGACTCGGGCCATGTGGCCAGACATTGCTGCAGTGACCTCGGCACGCAGCGGTGGAGACGAAAGGCAGCGAGGCAGTGAGCAGGATGGTAGATCGCAAAGGCGTGAAGTATGCGTGCCGAAGTCCGATCCTCCTCCTCCTCGTCCTCCTCCTGCCTCCTCCCTCCTCGTCCTCGTCCTCCTCCTCCTACTCCTCCTCCTCCTCCCCTCCTCCTGCCGTCGACTCAGGCCCCCAAACCGGAGACGTCAACAGAACAAGACGTCGGCGCACCCAGGAGAATTCTGCGGCCGTGGGCCGAGACGTTCTCTGCAGTCCTTCTCGAGGGAGCTAACGAACGATAGTAATCAGCAATTGCGCACTCAACCACGCAAGTGAATACGGCCCCCCAGTCCGCCAGACCAGCCTCAAGATGCGAACGTTCGCATGCGGCCACCCAGTCTGCGAGACCTGCCTCACGATGCGAACGTTCGCGCCAAGCGTGCTTTCGAAACCAACGTCGCTTGAGTTTGTTGCAGCAGCGTCGCTTAGGAACTCCAGTGGTGCACGCGTTTGAGATCCATCGGCGTTGCTTCGAGCACAATGTGAAGATCGGTCTGAATTCAGTTTCTGGCAAGACAGCTGCATACACAGCTCGGCACAGGCGGGAGAGAATGGTGGGCTTGCAGCTGCGCTCCCACACCTCTGCAACTATATTTGCCTCTAAGGCCCCAGAGGGCCGTGCTAGCAGCACGCCTTTTGCACTGCACTCGCGTTGAATCCAGGACAAACGTCATCGTACGTCCTTCTTTCGCTCATGACATTGCCTTTTCCCGCTGGAGCTGGCGAGGTCTGGACGCTACCGGGCTCCAGATCGAGCCGCATCGCCGATGCATCGGCGATGCGGCACGATTCTCCTGCCCTTTCTATTCCGGCCCCGAATGAAGCGGCCTGGATTGCCCCCCATCTCTCGAATCGCCGTGGAGAAACGGGTCCTGAAGGAACATGCTCCCAAACAGTGTCGCCGTTTTGTAGCCTCCAGGGGCCCTCCCCAGGACGCAGCACCGTCCAAGGGACAACGCAAGATGCGAAGCTGGTCCTGGGGAGGGCCCCGCGGCCCATGACCCGCTTCCCCCAGGACCTCCTTCCAGCATGCCAACACGAGGGGGTCGTTTCTCAGTCTGGGCACTCGAGACGAGGCTCGGGCGCTTGCAGCGATGCTCTGAATCGTGCGCGTGTCATCGACGTGGAGGTGCCACCGTCGTCGCTCTCTGGAAGGACCAAGGCGCTCACGCGCACGCCTTCCTGCACAAGTGGGGCACACACCCACGCAATTCGAACTCAGCTCCACGCCCCACTGGTGTCTGAAACCAAGGTGTCGCCGTCCCGGAAGTCGGCATGGGTGGACTCGACGAGGCCCCCGATCGGCACATCCTTGTCTTCGCCGGTGGGAGGGACCACTGTATCGACGTCGCTAGGAAACCTTCCACTCACCTTCGGCGGGATCGGTGCCTCTGCATGCTACAGCGTTGGCCACCCCACCTCTTGGCTTCCTGCAGCAGAGGGGTCATGCCGTCTGTGTTCTCCCTTCGAGAACGCCGTCTTTGGAGACCTTCCTGACAGGAAGGTCTTCAAAGGCACAGGAAATTCCTGTGCCTCGAGATCGAGACCGCGCACAGCATCATCACTTCTTTTACGGAATCGAAAACATTGTCCACGCACGCGCTAAATAGCATCTTTCCCCAGAGGACGGAAAAAGGCAGGTCGTACGTCAGCCCGACGGCCCTGGCCGTGATGCTGGCTGTCCTCGCCGGTTGTGAGGGTGAAGCCTGAGCCTGAAGCAAGCCGCAAACGCCTTGACGTGCGGAAATCACGCAAGTCGAAAGGTACTTGCATGCTCGTATTCGACTGAACAGGGGCGAGGGGGGAGGGGGGGGCGAAAGCCGTGCAAATAAACTCGCCTGAATCTAAAGAAAGACAGGCCCCCGAGCTCCAGCTGCAAATGTCGTCCATCCTCAGGGTGCACACGAACGGGAAAGCCCCGCCAGGACGGTCTTCTCCTGGGCCGCGAGCACCAAGTTCACTGGTGTCTCGCCGGCGACCTCGGCCGAGGATGCGAGGTGCAGCGCCACGCCTCTGTGCCAGCGGCCTCCACGAACAAGGATGAAGGGCCTGCGCCGGTATCCGCGCTATCCCCTGCTTTCGTTCCCTGCGCGTCGGGCACGGCCCGGTGCCCAAGAATCGCTGCAAAACGCGCCGATGACGTGCGCAGAGGTTGAAGTGTACCTAGTTGGTGTGGACTTTTTGTGAGTGGAGTAGATATGTGACTTACAGCATGCGTGCGATTTTGAGCCAAAATGGCTACGGACATCGACGTGGAAGTGATCTCCATGGTGCTGCTCCGCGTTGCCCTCGTCCAAGAGCTCCATGTTTTGCTCTTGTGTCGCGCTAGTAATGGTTTGTGGCAAGGACAAAACAAGTTACGGCTGGTGGGGAAACGCTGTTTCTCCCGCCCTGTCGTGTTAGGCATCGCAGGGCATTGGATTATGGACTTCGAAGGATACTCACACGCCTGGTGCCCCCAGAGGGCCAAAGAAGTATTGCTCGTGCGCAAGTGACCATCCGAAATCCGTGAGACCCCCGGGGCCCCCGCCTGCTGGGTATGCCCTCGTAGCAGGTACCGCCACAGCAGTGGTCAGGAGAGTTGCCAAGTTGATCGGCCGCCTCCCAGCAGGTGCTGTTTGCTGTTTCGGCCTTGCAGCAGGTTCCTCCCAGCATGTGGCATTTCGATCGCCCTTCCAGCAGGTGCGACTGCGCGCGTCGCAGTAACGGCCCCCCGGCCGACAGCTACGGTGACACCCCAGCTGATCAAGACCCATCTATCCGGGCCTGCAGGTACAGAGACTTGGGCGGAGAGGCCTTCGTCTGCAGGCGGTGTCCTCCTCCGTGGCCGACGCCCCCGCGTGGCTGCTTGCACTTTACTGTTTCTCCCTGTGTCTGTGCCTCGCTGATCAGAATCATCACCCTCATCATCTTCTTCATCATCATCATCATCATCAGCATCATCATCATCATCATCATCATCATCGTCATCATCATCATCAGCATCATCATCAGCATCATCAGCAATATCATCAGCACCATCATCATCAGCAGCATCAGCATCAGCATCATCATCATCATCATCAACACCATCATCATCATCACCATCATCATCACCATCATCATACCCATCGTCATCATCACCATTATCATCAGCATCATCAGCATCAACATCATATTCCCTATGCTCATCCTCCTCATCATGATCCTGACCATGACCATTATCATCACCATCACCATTATCATCACCAGCATCATCGTCATCATAATTATCATCGGATGTGCGGCTCAGGGTGCTACTTTCTGCCGTGCTAGTCTGAGGGGTCGAGATCGAAACAGTGGTGCCTCTCTGGCTGGGAAGGCTGGCCTTTGGTGTGCTAGTAAGGTGACGGTGGTCGTTCTTGCCTCGGTCGTGCTTAGTCGTAACAGTCCAGGTCAAAAAGAAGGTGCTTGCCTGGCTAGTGCTGGTGAGAGTGGTGGTGCTTGTTGGGATGGTGGCTGTAAGCGTGCTGAAGATGGCGAGGGCGTTGTCCAGAACAGCGGGCATGCTGGGCAAAGCTGGGACCTCTGGCGGCGCACGCGGCTTGAGCCAAAATCTCTGGTACCTAACCTCAGCTGGTTCCAGGGTGGCCGGGGAAGTTGTCACACACCGCTCCTGTTATCGACGATGCGAGCTAATCATAGTTGACGCAGTGGGCGCTGCGATTATCTTTCGCCGTTCGGAAAAGATGTTGCCGCCATGAGCATGGGGAGCCGTGTGTGTGCGTGTTGAAAAACAGTCGTGGGACAAACCAAGCTTGTTCGAGATGCTTCTGTGGGAATGCAGCAACCTCGCGGACCCTGTCGACGTGGTGTCGTGCCCACTCCGAGCGGTTGGCACGCTGGGCAACTATATACCATTACCTCGAGTCCTGAAGGCCGAAAGATCGATATGACGATTATTGAAATCCGATCTGGTGTTGATCCGCCACTCATGGCTCCAGCGCCGATCTGAGACATCCGTGCGGACTCCCAAAAGCTTATGCAGATGTCATTCGTTGTTCCCCGATCCTCCTCTTCATCGTCCCTCCTCATCATCCTCGTCGTCATCCTCATCATCCACGTCATCCTCATCTTCATCCTCCTCCTCCTCCTCGTCCTCCTCATCCTCGTCAGCCTCGCCATCCTCGTCGTCCTCATCATCCTCGTCATTCTCGTCCCCGATCGCCCTCGTCATCCTCGCCTTCCTCTTCCTCCTCATCATCCTCTGCTCCCCATCCTCACCCTCGCCACGGCTCTCCCAGGCCTGGGGACACGACGTGCCGCGCGTGACGGCCTCCGCGTGCCCCCTCGCCCTTGAGGAGTCGCCACCCAGCGTGCTGGGCTGGCACGGTGGCGGGACGTGCCGCAGGCGACTGGACGTTGCCTTGGTGCCGAAGTAGCGCCAATTGTCTCAAATGATTCGGGCTTACGCCCGTGACCAGACCCGCCCCTCCCCCCCCCCTGCCCCTCCCCCCCTGGTCACGTCACGATTCGCGCCGCCGTCCAGGAATGGCCCATTATTAGGCATTCCCAGACGGCGCCAGAGCGAATCGCGACATGACCGGCTCCCTCCCTCCCTCCACCAAGGTCACGCCCGTTATCGCCAGGGGAAGAGATGTTTCCCAACGAGCAGCAGCTGTGCGAGGTGAATCATGGCTGCTAGCTGCAATGGCAAAGCCTTCTACAGAACTGAAAGAAGAGCCCCCGTCAGCTCCAAGGACGACGATCGCTACATGTGTTACGAGCCCAACCTGACCCAAGATCCAAACTTCTATTCTGAGCGAGTTGGGGGCTGTCGGGAACCCACACAGTTTGCCCGAGGCGGGTCATAGAACTCTACAGCCCCTCTTCTGTTGGGCGAAGCGAAGCCGATAAGGGATCCTGACGCGCGTCCAGTGCAACGCGCAACGAAGGCGGCTGCACTCAATACCTACACGATAAATTCAAAGCAAGTGCGTAAGGAATTTTGACACCAGCGCAGAAGAGGCACGGCTGCAGATGTAGCCTGGATCAGGCTTCCAATCCTGATGGTTTTCATCGCGCATTCTGCTACATGTGCTACGACCCTGTGACGCATGCCTGCAGTCCACCACTGATGCCTGCAAAGAAGGCGACCCCCTCTGGCCTGCGCAGAACGTGTTGGTCAGGTCCGCCAGCGGCGCGAGGGCCCCGGGCGCCTCGAGAGATAAGTTTCTGATCCTCCTCCTCCAAGCTCCCCTCCCCCCCCCGTCCTCCCCCCCACCTCGTCCCGCTTCCTCACGCCCTCCTTCCTCGCTTCTCCCTCCCTCCTGCCCTCCTCGTAGTGCTGAGCTCCATCTGCTATCCCCCTTCCTGCTTCTCCATCGTGGTCCTCCTCCTCCTCCTCCTCCTCCTCCTCCTCATCATCATCAGCACCATCATCATGAGCAGCATCAGCATCAGCATCAGCATCAGCATCAGCATCAGCATCAGCATCAGCATCAGCATCAGCATCAGCATCATCATCATCATCATCATCATCATTGGCATCGGCATCGGCATCGTCATCGTCATCGTCATCATCATCATCATCATCAGCAGCAGCAGCAGCAGCATCATCATCATCCCTCCCTCCCCCATCCCCTTCCATCCTTCTTCCTTAGAAATAACGCCCCCCCCTGTCGTACCCCGAATCGTGTCGGTAGTCCGGTCAAGGCGTTTCGCCTGGGACTTCCTTGCCACTTGCGATCCTTAAACATACACTTTGCAACAGGTTCACTGATCGAGGGCGGGTCATTTACAAAATGTGGCTCTCGCCTCGCTGCGAACACTCGTCACAAAAGTTTGCACAAAATTCACGGATGGAGGGTGTGCGCGCCGTTTTCAAACTGTGCCTCTCGCTTTGGCCCCGCAGACATTCGTCTTAACACTTCGCAAGAGCTTCACGGATGGAAGGCGGTTCCTTTTCAAAATGTTGTTCCCGCCCCAGCTCCGCGCACATTCGTCATCTTAAGAACTCACACCAGTTTCCAATATTCTTATGGTTGACGCCCATGAAGTGGTGCTCTGTCACGATGTAGGACTGTCAGGGCGCCGCCGTCACGGTGATTCGAGGTTTGAATTTCAAGGAACGGCGATCTGGCATGATTCAGGATCGTCACGACGCAACGATTACGTTGACTCGCGCCGTTGGTTTAGAATTTTCAGCTAGGTGTCGTCCAACGGAGAACTCCTCAGTGAAAAAAAACCGTGTAGGGACCTGTGAAGAGGGAACTTGGAGGGAGGGTCGATTGCAACATCGCTGAATGGATCGTGGGTTTACACTTGCTTCTGCTGGTGCTCCTCCTCCTCCTCTTCCTTCTCCTCGTGGCCCTCCCCTCCTGGTGTTTCTGCTGATCGCCGCCAGCCCCCCCGGGAGCGCCGGGGCCACGCCGGCGGGCGGCGGCGGCGGCGGCCCAGGCAGGCACCAGCCTGGCAGCGGAGGCACGCCTGGCGCCGCCACGGGGGAGCGGCAGCGGAGGCGGCCGCGGCCGCCAGCTCCCCGACCTCGTGCCTGGTGCCTGGTGCCTCCTGCCTCCTCCTGCCTCCTCCCTCCTCGCCCTCCTCGCCCTCGTCCTCGTCCTCGTCCTCCTCCTCCTCCTCCTCCAACTCCTTCTCCTCCGCCTCCTCGTCCTCTTCCTCGTCCTCGACTTCTTCCCTCCTCCTCCTCCTCCTCCACAAATACTCAATATGAATACTACTCTCCTCCTTCCCCTGATGACGGGGTGGGAGTGTTCGCCCCCCCCCCCCCCCGCGTACTCTTTTTTACACACAGGATTCCCCGGAGTTGGGTTTTCGCCTGCATTTGTTTTCAAAATGCTGCTCTCGCTGAGGCGCCGGCCTCATTTTCGGGCCCCGCTCGTTCCGAATCGTGCTCCCGCTGCAGCGCTGGCCTCATTTCCGTGCTTCCGCTCGTTCCGAATCGTGCTCCCGCTGCAGCGCTGGCCTCATTTCCGCGCTTCCGCTCGTTCAGAATCGTGCTCCCGCTGCAGCGCTGGCGTCATTTCCCGTGCCATGCCACGGCATGCAATGCAATGCTAGGTTGCGTTCCGCTGCGCGATGCCATGCCTTCAGCTGAAGCTGTGATATGCAGTGCTTAAGTGCCACGTCGTGCTATGCCATGCTGCGCTTTGATCTTCAACGCCATGCTATGCAATGTTTTGTTCGGGGCCGCTGTGCGATGCCATGCTTTGCGTTGCAAAACTTTGTGATGCAATTCTTCACTACGCCAAGCCACGCCATGCTGAGACATACTACGCTTTGCGGTGCTCTTCTACGCCATGCCACGCCGTGCTCTTCAATGCATCGCGTACCCTTTCGGGATCATTGCTCTCCTCGACATCCGACTGTGCGAGTGGAGAGGGGATCTACGCCATGGTAAGGGATGGGAGGGAGGGACAGGATGTCAGATATGACGCGAGCGCACCTAGCTTGTCCTGCTCCCCCTCCCCCCCCTCCCCCTCCCCCTCCCCCCCTCCTCCTCCTCCTCCTCCTCCTCCTCCTCCTCCTCCTCTCCTCCTCCTCCTCCTCCTCCTCCTCCTCCTCCGACTCCGCCTCCGCTTCCGCCTCCTCGCCCGCGTCCTCGTCCTAGTCCTCATCCCTCCCTCCTGCATCCTCCTCCTCCTCTGCATCCTCCTCCTCCTCCTCCTCCTCCCCTCCTCCTCCTCCTCCTCCTCCTCCTCCTCCTCCTGCTCCTCCTCCTCCTCCTCCTCCTCCTTCTCCTCCTCCTCCTCCTCCTCCTCCTCCTCCTCCTGTCGCTCGATGACCCCCTTCAGCAGCGGTCGATGTTGGCAGCGGGGGGGATCAAACTATGTACCCGCCAGTCGTAAGAAGTAGGTAGGAGCATGAGGCAGGAAGGCGGATAAAGTAGATTGGGTTCGGGACCGCCTGAAGACTACCAACAAACAACAAAAACGCATGGGTTGTTAAAGTAGAAAGGCGCTTGAAGTATATTGGGAGCTGGGTACAAAAAACAACTACTTTCAACGACTGGTGAGCAGCTTGTCAATGGCAGAAAAGGAAAGCACGACGTGCGGAGGACCCCCCCTGGGGAGGCGGGATAAATGTGTCCCCGGGCACCCTCATGGGGGTTTGCCCCTCCTCCTCTTCCTCCTCCTCCTCCTCCTCTTCCTCCTTCTCTTCTGAAGCAAAACCAGGAAGAGGATCATATCGGGTTAGGATCAAACGAGAATTTTTGAGATCCAGCGGCTCTGCAGGATGTCTCGGCCGCCGCGGCCTTCTCAAAGAGTTCAGGAAGGCTCTGTGAGAGCGTTCCGGAACGCTCTGGAACGGATTTCTCCTTCTCCTCCTCCTCCTCGTCGTCCTCGTCCTCCTCGTCGTCCTCGTCCTTCTCGTCCTCCTTGTCCTCCTCATCCTCCTCTTCCTCCTCCTCGTCCTGTTCCTCATCCTCGTCCTCGTCCTCATCCTTCTCCTCCTCTTCATCCTCCTTCTCCTCCTTCTCCTCTTCCTCCTCCTCCTCCCTCTTCCCTTGGAATCTGACGTTGACGTCGCGAACAAAAATGTAGTACCGTGGAGAATTCACGACCAGAGCCCGAACCCCCATCTGTCTGCGGCATGTCTGAACGCACGCGGATGAGGATGAGGAGGAGGAGGAGGAGGAGGAGGAGGAGGACAGGAGGAGGGGGAGGAGGCGGACATGAGGAGGGGGAAGCGGACGACGACGAACATAAAAGAGGAGGAAGAGAAGAGCCGGATCGAACTGCGAGGGGCGGAGACGCCCGGTGCAAAACAAATGCGACGCCCAGATCTAACGGTCGGCTCGCATCAGCAATACATCGCCGATAGATCGGCGACAGGCCCCCGATAAGAAACAGCACGTTCCTGGGCGGGTCGGGCTATCGAGCCCCTATCGGCGATGAATGGGCGATTGGGGGTCGATGCATCCCCCCTGAGCTTATATGAGCTTCTCCCCCCCTAACGCTGCCTTGTGGTTTTCGGGTCATAACTTGGCTCCCCGGCTGCCGCGCGTGACGATCCAGGCACCCCTGGAACGCTCTCGGCGAGGCGCGCAGCTGATGGAAGTTATCATGAGCATGGAAAACCGCCGAGAACGGACGAACGCGCTCGAAATCCTCGAACCTCGTACCTGTCTCCCCCCCTGAACCCATCCTCCTTCCTCCCCCGCCTACCCGCGTCCTCCCCTTTCGGGGGGCCCCAAAACCGTGTGGTGACGGACTGCGTGGTGACCTCTGAATCCCCAGCGACCTCACCGTGCGGTCAGTCACCACACGATCTTGGAACCCTGGAGGCTCCAATCGCCCGAGACTTCCTCAGAGAACGGCCCAAGTCCCAAAACTGCGCGGTGAACCCGAACCTCATCGCGGCGTGGTCCCCACACCGTCATCGAAATCCTCGGGGAAGCGGTCACCCCAATCCCACGCCGAGTGATGAGGTCGGTTGCACAAACTGGCGCCTCAACGACAGCCACTGTAGTTCGGCGTTGGGCACTACACCAGGTGAGACTAGCACGGCTGGGACACGCGGTAGGGAATCCTGCGACAAGAAGTGCCTTGGCGGCGCGCACAAGGGGGTGGAGTGAGGGGGGAAGGCTCTTAGAAGCATGGGTGCTTCTTAGACGAAGGGGGTGGACTTCTTAGAAGCAAGGGTGCTTTCAAGAAGCAGGGGAGCTTCTTAGAAGCAGGGGGTGGAAGGAGGGGGGAAGGCTTCTTAGAAGCAAGGGTGCTTCCAAGAAGCCCTCCCCCCTCCCCCCCGCCCTCCTCCGCGCGTGGCTGGAATCAGAACTGCCGAGAGGCAGGCGCCACATACTGTCTGTGGGCCTCCGTGCCCCCCCCCGCCTCTCCCCCCTCCTTGAAGGGGCCCAGGGGCACACAAACAAAAAGGTACAAATTACAGGATTCCAGATCTTTCCGATATTTTATAGATTATCGTCTTCCCCTCCACTTTCCATAATTCCCATCTATCCGTGGGAATCGGGGTTTGTTTGTGTCATGTTGTGTCTGTGTGGCGTTGTTCCTCCTGACCCCAATCGGACGGGGCTAGGACGAGGATCGATCCGTTCGAAAGAATTCTGGAACCCTCTCAGAGCGCTCCAAAACGCTCTGATAAGGCCCCGGAGCGCGAGAAATCCTCTAGAACCGCCGGATCTCAAAGATTCCCGCTTTACCCTCACCCGATATGATCCTCGTCCTGGCTTCGTCTTAGAAGAGGAGGAACAGGAGGAGGAGGAGGAGGAGGAGGAGGAGGAGGAGGAGAAGGATGAGGAGGAGGAGACGGAGGAAGAGAAGGAGGAGGAGGAGGAGGAGGAGGAGGAGGAGGAGGAGGAGGAGGAGGAGGAGCAGGAGGGGCGAGGCGGAGGAGGAGAAAGATGAGGAGGAGGAGGAGGAGGAGGAGGAGGGGCGACCCCCCATGAGGTGCCTGGGGACATCACTACCCCTCCCCCCCGGTCCGACTCTGTCCTCGTCGTGGCTTCGCCTCGCCCCGCCTCCGCGCCTGCCCCCTCGCCACCTTTGTGGCGACCCCACGAGGCGCAGGCGAGCGAGAGCCCCGGCGCGGGGCCTCTCGGGGCCGCTGGGCGTGCAGCGCGGCCCTCGTGGCTCCGCCAGGACGCCCACCAAGGGGGAGGACGACGCCGAAAACCTCGAACCGCCTGAGCCTACCCGCCCCCCGACTCGGGGGTTGCTAGAGGCGCCCCTGGCCCAAGGTGCCCCCCAGCTTTCCGCGCCGTTTTAGAGCCCCTGGGACCCCTTGGGCCTTGTGAGGGGTGCGTTGGAGGCCGTAGAGGCCTCCTTGGAGATCCTGGGGAGACCTTGGGCCAAGAGCACTTCTGGCAACACCCGACCTAAGTAACGTTGCCCCTGCCTTGTCCTCGCCGCTCAAGCCCCCCGTCGGCCTGGCATGGCCATCGCGGGCATTGCCGCGGGCGCGGCCGCGCCTCGGGGGCGGGCGGGGCGCTAACCGCGCGGGGCGGAGGCGCCGCGCCCTCCCTCGGCTCGCCCGAAGGCTGCGCCGCGGAGGGATCCGCTTCACGGATCCTTCTGCGGCGCAGCCGCCGAGGCCCCCCTCCTTCGTCCTCCTCCTCCTTTCCCCACGGGGGGGCCCGCTGCATAGGACAAGTCTGCTTTTCGGCTCTGGCCTCGGCCTCGACTTCGGGGACAGCCCTAGCCTTGGTGTTCATGGGGGACGCAACTGGGGGGAGGAACGCACGTTTTCCAAACGAGGCAGTTGGAGGCGAAAGCCCTTCTCGCATATGGTATGTTGTTGCTCGACATGATCATTTCATTTCACACGGTGGCTCACCCACGCTTGCGGCGCAACTCCAGACGTGGCCATTGAGTTGCGCCACGAACGTCACGCGCAGTAGCCTCCCGCTCAGACATTCTGATGCGTAACATCGGCTTGCAACGCATTAAAGTGCCCCAATCCCTAAACTGCCGCAGTGGGTCAACAAGTGGTTCGAAAGTGCCCTTTCAGGGGCCCAGAACTGCACTGCAATGAATGAAGGAAGCCCAGAACATGCATCCACTTTTGGGCGGGGCGCGGCGGCCGCGCACACGAAACCTGGGTGTCACCACGCAGCCCCTCGCAGTCTGACTTTGCTCCATCATCCGGATAATGCTAGATGCTTCGCGCGCGTAGGTTCCACTGCGCAGTGAAACGCTGGCAGCGTCCCTGCGCCGAACATACGTATTCAAAAAACAGCAAAGGGCCCTTCAAGGGTCCCTCAAGTGTGCCAAAAATGCTTTGAAAAAAGTGCCAAGGTTGCTGTGACCCTCTCCCCGCCCCGGCTCCGGCTCCAGCTTCGACTCCAACCTCTGCCTTGGCATCGGCCCTGGCCCCGGCCCTGGCCCCGCCCCCCCGCCCCGCTGTTAGCACTTGCCCACGAGCAGCCGAAGCGCGTCAAGGACACCTTGGATATTGTAAAAGCTAAAGGTCCGTCTCCCTCCTCCTTCCTCCTCCATTCTCTTCCTCGCCCTCCTTCTCCTCTTCCTCCTCCTCGTCGTCGTCGTCGTCCTCCTCCTCCTCCTCGTCCTCCTCCTCGTCCTCCTCCTCCTCCTCCTCCTCCTCCTCCTCCTCCTCCTCCTCCTCTCCTCCCCTCTTGTCCGCGCTGGCCCGTGGGCGTCCGAAGCACGCCAGGAGGGCACAGTGGTGTTGCTTTGCGTCGCCGGTGCGCGCCTGCTCTTCTGTCGCCCATATAGGTCGGGGGCCGCGGCCCGCACGCCTCTAAAAAGCAGGGCTGGTCGAGACCTCTAACGCAGCGTCGTCTCCATCGGGGGGGCTTGCCATAACCGAACATGTGCCCGAACATCGGCCCGAAACTGGCGCCCGATGTTGGCTCCGACCCTGCCCGAATGTGACCGGACTCAAAACCAACCGCGAGGTTTCGGTCACACTACGTTTTCGGTCACACGTTTTCGGTCACATCTGCTTTCGAGCACGCACCTTGTTGGCTGATCGGGGCAAAGCGCGATGACAGGCCTTCAGCGCATTGACACCATCAAAGCAACAGATTTTGTAGTTTTGCTGGGATCCCTGGGGCCGTCGAGAAACGAGACGCTGGCCCCGAGTCAAGGGCCAGGACATCTGGGGACCCCTGATTTGAACAAATCAAGGCATCTGATCTTTGGGGGGAACATGTACGAAGGAAGTCCACGGAGGCATCGCGCGGCAGCTCGGGGCCCAAGTTGCGTAAGGGTCGCGGTCGGGTCGTCGCCGAGCGAGCGTCGACGGGGCGGGCGCGTGGACTGGATGATGCAATTGCTGCGCGCAATGTGAGGAGACGGGGCCCTGAGGGGCCCAGACGCCTCGCGCCGTAAGTGAATGAAACAATGTTCGACGCGGAGGTCCCCGTATGTGCATATGATTTCCTGGCACTTCTCGCTGTGAATGTGTGTCTTCGCTTGAAGCTTCCGTGCTTCATCAGGATGATATCGCGACTCCAGAACAAAAAGTGAATTGGGGGTGCCCAAATCAGCGTTTCCCTTGAGATGTCCCCGCGATCTGGCAGCGCACGGGTGCGAACGTGCAAGTGCAACACGCCCTGGTGGCTCCCCCTCTGGGGCGCCAAAAGGCTATGCCTCCTACATCGCGGTAATCATGGGCCTCTGAAAGGAGTCGGGGGCTCCAAACAAACACCTCGCTTGAGACATCCCCACGTCGCAAGCGGTTCCTCCCTGGGGTGGTCAAGAGTTATGCCCGCTACGTCGCGTTAATCATGAGGCTCTCAACGGACAGGAAGTGGAGATCCACGAACCGGGGCCCCAAGGGCGGCCTTCCCATCCCGAGCAATCGCTCGACGGCCCCTGGGCCGGCCGTGGACACCAGGAGGGCGAAAGCGGCGACCACAAGCTCAGGACCCACTTCCCTCGGGACCCGGTTTCTTCGCGGTGATATCCCGGCCCTGCGAGCCAGACGTGGAAAGCGTGCGAGAGGCCGGCTTCCAGCGGATAGTCGGCGCGGGGCACCGCGCCTGCGCCGCCGCAGCCAGAGGAACAAAATATGCTACTAGCCTGGCGACAGATGCAGCTGCGAACACCGCGTCTGTGAACATCGTCTTCGGTGGAGCTCCTTACGGGGGCACGAACCGTGTGACGGGTGCGCCGAAGTGGAATGGAGGCGGCACGCGGGCGCTGCCACTGGGGCATTCGGTGGAACTCCCTTAGGGCCTTCGGCGTGGCTCCCTCCGTCCCAAGATTGTCCTGCCCATCTTGTTATCCCTCTGCGCACGCGCGCTCCGAAGCCCATGGCACGGGGCGCAGCGCAGCGCGGAGTTCCCGCGACGAGCGCTAGTCACCCCGGAGGGGTCCCAGCGACGCACGCGGGTCGTCTGCCGCGCGGAGCAAAGGGAGCTACCTGGCTGACTGATAGCGGGCCAGGATCTGGCCGCTGGGCAGAGCGACGACGGGCGTGCGAGGCGCTGCCGCGACGCGCGCTGGTCGCTCCGAGAGGGTCCCAGCGACGCGCGCGGGACGTCCGCGGCGCGAGGCCCAACATTTTGACAATCGAGAGATGGCGCGGCTGGGGCGGGCCGCTCCTCAGGTCAAGCCTCGCGGATGAACCCGGTGAAGCCCTGCTCCCTCCCTGGCCAGGGCCGTCGCCTCCCTTCTGCACCGCTTCGCGCGGGCAGCAAACTCCTCCAGCTGCTTCCGCAAGCTCTGCGGCGGCCCTGCCAGGAAGAACTCGATGCGCGGCGCCCGCATGAGCAGGTCCTCGTGGCTACCTGTGGGGCTATGGGTCCACGAAGCGTGTGAAAGGTGTGCTCCTTATGGGGCCACGAAGCGCTGTACTGGGCGCAGGAACCGCCTGCGAGTTCCGCCACTGGGACCTTCGGTGGAGCTCCCAATTGTGCCACGAAACACCGCACTGGGCGCAGGAACCGCCTGCGAGTTCCGCCGCTGGGACCTTCGGTGGAGCTCCCTATGGGGCCACGAAACACCGCACTGGGCGCAAGAACCGCATGCGAGTTCCGCCACGATGGGCCACGAAACACCACTCTGGGCGCAGGAACCGCATGCGAGTTCCGCCACTGCGACCTTCGGTGGAGCTCCCGATCGGGCCATGAAGCAGTGAACTGGGCGCAGGAACCGCATGCGAGTTCCGCCACGATGGGCGAAGAAACACCGCACTGGGAGCAGGAACCGCATGCGAGCTCCGCCACTGGGCCCGTTGGTGGATCTCGATATGACGCCACAGCGCAGCACTGGGCGCAGGAACCGCATGCGAGTTCCGCCACTGCGACCTTCGGTGGAGCTCCTGATGGGGCCACGAAGCAGTGTACTGGGCGCAGGAACCGCATGCGAACTCCGCCACTGGGCCCGTTGGTGGATCTCGACATGACGCCACAACGCTGCACTGGGCGCAGGAACCGCCTGCGAGTTCCGCCACTGGGACCTTCGGTGGAGCTCCCTATGGGGCCACGAAACACCGCACTGGGCGCAGGAACCGCATGCGAGTTCCGCCACTGGGACCTTCGGTGGAGCTCCCGATGGGGCCACGAAGCGCTGTACTGGGCGCAGGAACTGCATACGAGTTCCGCCACTGGGACCTTTGGAGGAGCTCCCAATGGGGCCACGAGGCGCTGTACTGGGTGGGGGAAGCGCAGGGAGAAGGGAGGAGGAGGAGGAGGAGGAGAAAGGAAGGATGAAGGAAGGAGGAAGGAGGAGAACGCGGGGCGCTGTGGCTTCAAAACGAAGACCCAACACCACAGGATGGTTGGGAACAAACGTGCCACGGTGTAGTAGGGGCGTCCCCGTAAAAAGCGCACAAATGGTGAACCGCCATAGCAGCTCCTCATCGGGCTTCTACTGACCTGGGCCAGTGCAAACCTGGGCCAGTCCGGTTTTGCAGGATCCTAGAGGGTCTTGCGCGCTAGCCTGGGTCAATGCAACCCTGGCTCTGCAGAAAGATCCATCGCTCTGGCCGAACCCCCCGTTTGAACGGACCCCCGTCTCAAGGCTCCCGACCTCTCTTGCTCGCGGCGCGCCCAGGGGGGAGGCCAGGGGGCGGGCCTTCTCAGAAGGCAGCGGGGCTTGCGGCGACGACGGCGGCGACGACGACGAGAGGCCATCTGAGAAGCCCTCCCGCTTTCTGAAGGGCCTTCTGAGGCTTCTCCCCGAGGCCACGGGCGGCTGCTCAGAGGGCGGGGAGAGGGCTTCCAGGAAGTCCCGCCGCTCCCTAAGAAGGCCTGCCCCCTCGGCCTTCCAAGACGAAGCCAGCACGAGACACCATCGGGTGAGGACGCCGCCTCTGCAGGGTGTCTCAGGCGCCGCGGCCTTCTCATAACGTTCCAGAACGCTTTGAGAAGCGTCCTGCAACGCTCTGGAGCGGACTTTCCCTCGTCCCAGTCTAGTCCGAACTTCCCCCCCCAAGGCACGCTGTCGATCTTGGACGGCGCTGGCCGCTCGCAAATGCAGGGGGGGGGACAACGGCGGAACCCACGGAATACGCCGTCGCTAACCGCGATAGGTTTTCAGAACCCTCCCCTGATAGCCGAAAACTAATTACCTTTTTCGGCTACGACTACGACTACGAGCAATAGGAGTACGAGGAGGAGGAAGAGGAGGAACAGGAGGAGGACGAGGTGGAGCAGGAGCAGGAGCCAGAAGAGGAGGGGGGAGGAGGAAGAAGCGGACGAGGAGCAGGAGGCAGAGGAGGGGCGAGTTTACTCCCCGTCGAAAGAAACAGGGGGGCAAAAACAAGTGGCACGTGTGCCATGGCTCTTGAACAAGCAGGAAGGGAGAGGAGGAGTTGGAGAAGGAGGGGGGAAGAAGGGACAAGACATCGCCCCTCGGGGCCCAGCAACGGTGCCTAAATCCCAGGTGGGGAGGGGGGGGAGCGTGCGTCGCGACGCGGAGTAAAGAGCTCGGAGCGGAGGGGGCTCGGGGCGGAGGTCCCACTGGGGCGCTGGGGGCGCGGAGAGGAGGGAAGGGGAGGTGGTCTGCGTCGCGACGTGGAATAAAACTGGTCGGGGCGGCGGGGGCACTGGGCGGGGCTTGGGGCAGAGGGCCATGGGGCGGGGGTCCAACTCGGGCGCTGGGGACGCGGGAGGAGGGGGGGGGTGGAGTGCGTCGCGACGCGGAATAACATTGTCGGGGCGGAGGGGGCACGGGGCGGAGCCCCCACTGGGGCGCTGGGGACGTGGGGAGGGAGGTGGGGGAGGTGGTGTGCGTCGTGACGCGGAATAAAGCGTTCGTGGCGGAGGGGGCAGTGGGCGGGGCTGGGGACGCGGGGGGGGGGTGCGACGCGGAATGAAGCGTTCGTGGCGGAGGGGGCACGGGGCGGGGCCCCGCTGGGGCGCTGGGGACGCGGGGGGGCTCGGGGCAGAGAGCCACGGCGCGGGGGTCCCACTGTGGCGCTGGGGACGCGGGGGGTTGGGGTGTGCGACGCGGAATAAAGCGTTCGTGGCGGAGGGGGCAATGGACGGGGCTCTCGCTGGGGCGCTGGGGGAGTGGGGGGGCTCGGGGCAGAGAGCCACGGCGCGGGGGTCCCACTGTGGCGCTGGGGGACGCGGGGGGTGGGGGTGTGCGACGCGGAATAAAGCGTTCGTGGCGGAGGGGGCAATGGACGGGGCTCCCGCTGGGGCGATGGGGACGCGGGGGGGTTCGGGGCAGAGAGCCACGGCGCGGGGGTCCCACTCTGGCGCTGGGGACACGGGGGGGGGTGCGACGCAGAATAAAGTGGTTGGAGCTCTAGACACCCTGTGCAAAAGACCTCCTCGGGTCAACAAGCGCCGCTGCGTGCGGGCACCGGGCGTTTGTTGTACGTCTTCGGCCTCAGAAGGGGCCGTCCCTGAGCCCCGCGGGACTGTCAAAAAGGAACGGCTCAGTGCGAAAAGCCGGTGTGGCAAATCTCACCCGAGAATGCCTGGAGGGAGAAATAAGGATGGGGGGAGGATGAGGACAGGGCTCGAACTAAACAATTGTTTTCGTTTTCGCGATATTATTGTGTTCCTTCGATCTGCCTTTGCTGCGAAACGAAACCAAAACGAAAACGGTCCACGAAATTGCAAAAACATGGTTTAGCTCGACCCCTGGATGAGGATGGTCGAGAAGGAGAGACCTCGAGGACGAGGAGAGTAGTAGGAGGAGGAGGAGGAGGAGGAGGAGGAGGAGGAGGAGGAGGAGGAGGGAGGAGGAGGAGGAGGGAGGAGGAGGAGGAGGAGGAGGAGGAGAGGAGGAGGAGGAGGAGGAGGAGGGGGGGGGGGGGAGGATGAGAAGGAGCAGAAGGAGGGAGCAGGATGAGGAGCAGGAGGAGGAGGATGATTGAGGAGGAGAGAAATCGAAGATGAAGAGAGGAGGAGCAGGAGGAGCAGGAGGAGGGAGCAGGAGGAGGAGGAGGAGGAGGAGGAGGAAGCAGGATGAGGACTAGGAGGAGCAGGAGGAGGAGGAGCATGAGGAGCAGGAGGAGGAGGAGCAGCAGGAGGAGGGAGGATGAAGACGAGGAGTTGACCATTTACCCACCTCGCTCGAATACGCGGCGCAGTATGCACCAAAACTGGCCCACGCGACGGGCTGGGAAGTGCCAGGGGTACCGGCTGCGGCGACGAGGGCGACCGCCACGGGAGGCCCAGAAGGGCATCGCAACGCGCAGAAACCTCGACGCCGGATCCTCCTCGATCTTCAATCGCCCTCCGAACCTGAGGGGGCCCGCAAAGACCGTACGCGCCCAAACGCGTACATGAATACGCGCCCCCCCCCCCCCCCAGTTTGCGAAACCAACCCTTCTATACGAGCGTTCGCGCAGTACGTGCTGTCGGAGCCAGAGTGGACTCAAGAGTACAGGTGCGTCCTTCTTTCGCTCCTGACAGTCTGAGGGGCAACGTTACGGGGGGGATCGGCTCAGGGGGAGACGCATCGACCCCCTATGGCCCATTGATCGCCGACTGGAGTCCGATGGCCCACCTCGCCAAGGAACATGTGGTTTCGCTATCGGGGGGCCTGTCGCCGATGTGTCGGCGACGTATCGCCGATTCTAGGTCGATGTTTCCCCCATTGTGCCTATCCCCCCTGTCGTCTCCCCTGAGAACCCCACCTTCTCCTCCGCCGCCTCCACCATCTCCTGCTCCTGCTCCTGTTCCTGCTATTCCCTTTGGCCATGAGGAAGGGCGACTTAGCATAAAGGAAACGGGCCCAAATGGAAACGAGTCCTTGTCGCCAGGGCATCCTCTGGGAGCAGGTTTTTCCAGAGCTGTTTGTTTGATGGTCCGGGGGCCCCAGGGGATTGCCCCGGGAGACCGGAAAACGGTGAAGAATTCACGGGACCCTCCCTTCACGAAATCAGTCCATTGACCTCTCCACAGGCGTGCTTTGACAAGAACTTCGAGGAATACCCAACTGTCGTTGCCTGTGATTATTATTGTTGGACGCCTGGAACGGGTATGGAAAAGATGGGTACGATGCCCAACAACCAACGTCGTCCAAAACAGACAGCGGCCTCTGTTGGGCAGGCGGCCTCCTGTCTCAGATGGACGACGACCGCGGCGACGTCGACAGCGAACCCTGTTCAGAATGAACAAACGATGCTGCTGGACTTTGTACCCAACGTTTCCGTACTCATTTCGAACGTCCCGATTTTAGCATGGGTGAAACGGGTCCTGAGGGAAACGGGTCCTGGATCCCAGGGCCTTTCCCCAGGACCAGCTCTTCATCCTGAGTCGTTTTCTGACAGTCCTGGGGCCAATGGAGGGCCCCAGGACCCCGAAAACGGTAAAAACAAACTCATGACCCGTTTCCCTCAGGAGCCGTATCCCCCACCACGTCGACCCCCAGAGGTCTCGACCCATTCCCAGGGACCAGCGGTCAATCCTGAATCATTTGTGACAGTCCCGAGGCCCTCTAAGGGCCCCAGGACGCCGAAATCGAGAAAAAACGTCCGTCCTGATTTTTCTCATTGCTCGAGGGGGGGGGCCTGGGAAGCACTGCGCCCCTCGGGTCGACCGTCGACCCCGAGGGCAGTGCGGGGCCGGGGCCTCCGCCAGCCCACGCCAGGCGCAGCGTGCCCTGCGGGGTGGCTCGCGCATGCCCGCGCGCCGCCCGCCGCGCCGATGGTCTCCGCCCGCCCGCCGGGCCGCCCTCCTCCTCCTCGGCCTCGCCCACGGGGTGAGACGAGGCCAGGACGAGGACAAATTCTGGTGATGATATTCGGAAGGGTGTTACTGGGGAGTGACCCAAATCTCGTCATCGCTCGGACGTCCATTCCCCGTTCATGTCTCGATGCCGTGCGTGCTTTTTTGTGCTAAATGATCCAGGATGCTCCTCGACGGTCCACGCCGAGAACAAATGAACACGTCCGAGCGATGCCAAGAAATGTGGGGTGAAGAAAAAGGCCCTCAGGGGCCTCTTAGGGCCCCTCGTGGGGGCCCCAGCTGGCTCAAAAGGGGCCTGAATGGCCCCTTGACCAGGTCATCCCCCATGGCCACCCGCCCGAGATGTGTCGAGAATCTCGGGGCTTACAGCTCTGGAGAATTTACTGGGCGCCGCTGCCTTCCCAGAGCGTTCTGGAACGTTGTCAGCACGTTCCGGAGCGCTCTTGAACGGATTTTTCCTCGTCCTTGGCTCGTCCGACAGGAACAGCCAGCATCGAATCGGGAACTCGAATCGGATCGGAGCGAGTACCGAATCGGACAGCATCAGCTCGGAGTCGGAGTCGGAGTCGGAGTCGGATCGAAGGCGCCAGAATGCAGAATCAACAGGCGCCAGTCGAGCATCGGGCCGCATCGGATCGCCATAAGTTCAAAATCGCCGCGAATCGGGCCGGCCAGACACGACACCGACTCGGATCGATGGGGTCGAAACGCACCCCGCTCCGTGCAGTGCAGGCGGTGAGGCAGGGCCCGCTCTGGGCACGGGCGGGGCCCCCGCAGTCTGCGGGCCGAGGCCCAGACCTGGATCGCCGTGGAGCCTTCGCTCGTGGCCGAGGCCCGCCGTGGCCCCGTCGCTCCTTGCTCGGGCATGCCCTGCGATTAGGGGGAAAACAAACCTACCTCGCTTTTGACCACCCTCGCTTCCAAGAGATACCAAACGATGCCAAATTGCAGCCTGTACTGGTCAGGCCGCTTGACGAGGAGGCGCGTGGTATGGCTTGGTTTTGCCTGGAAGCGAAAGCGGGGTAGGTAATTCACGCTCTGAGCGATAGCAAGATGGCCGTGTCCCTGCCCCTCCTGCTGAGGGGCAGCGCTCTGGGGGCCGGCTCGGGGAGAAAAACATCGAGCTCGAATCGGGGATACATCGCCGGTGCATCGGCGATGTGCCCTCGATGGTGCACGCTCCTGGACGGGGCGGGCAATCAATGGGCGATTGGGGATCGATGCGTCCCCCTCGAGGCCCTGCGGTCGGGAAGCTTCGCCCAGTGTGTCGCCGCGACGGCCCAGGCGACGCGTTATGCCTTGCGAGCGACCAGCGTGTAGCACCGCTCCAGAGGGCGGGAGGCTCGGAAAGGCTCGGAACGTTGACGCCTGGGGACCAGGCAACGGCTAGCGTGCCGCGCCGAAGCGTGGGCCAGAGCCGGCGGCGCAACACGCGAAGCCAAAATTTCACCAGCCAGTTGGGCTAAGGTGGTCTCGCGATTTCCCTTTTGGGCTTTTGACCCCCAAGGCTCGCTTCTCGAAGCGCATATCCACTGCATGCACCTGAACGCCATCACTGCGACAAACAAAACAGCCGCGGACAATGCTGGGAAGAATGCCGGAAAATGCCAGGCTGTCAGCAGTGAAAACCCCTTCAAAAAAACCCAAACCTCTCCCCAAAAAACTCTTCCAAAAGTCGTTTCCAAAAATCTCTTCCCTTCCAGAAGGTTCACCTACCCACCCCTTCCCTGAGTTTTCTCTCGGGGCGGGTCGCGGCCATCGGTGAGAGCGTCGAAGATGGCCTGGGCGAAAAGGCCCGATCCAGTGATTGTACTAGGGTTGGGGCCCATTTGGGCCCCCCAGGTGGGTTGGGGGGGGGGGGGGCAAGCGTTCGCCCCCTGCCCCCCCCTACCCCCCCCTGTGATCGATGGCCCTAAGGAATCCCGAAGAGGGCTCGAAGAGGCCCCACAAGGGACCCAAGACCCTCAGAAAAGCCCAAATAGGGTCCCGAGATCACCCAAAAGAGCCCCAGGAAGGTTCCAATAGGCGTTTGTTGGGGCTCTGCCCTCGTCCCCATCGTTGCCCTCATCGTCTTTCTTTTCCTTTGTCCCCAGTTTCCTCGTCGTGGTGGTGGTCGTCATCGTCGTCGTCGACATAGTGCAAGAAGAGTCCGAACCGAACTGGTAACCGTGAACCGGCGGCTCCTGCAACCGAGCCGCCCGAACCGGAGCCCGAACCGGACCGGCTGAAACCGGACCGGGCGGTTCGAACCGAACCGGCCGGTCGAAACCGGCCCGCACGGCAAGCCCGAACCGGGTGGAACCGAACCGGGCCCCGGGACTCCCCGCCGGCCCAGGGGGTGCCGGCACCCCCCCCCCACCCCCGGTGCCGGCACCCCCCCCCCGGTGCCGGCACCCCCCCCCCGGTGCCGGCACCGCCCCCCCCCCGGTGCCGGCCCCCCCCCCCCCCGGCACCCCCCCCGGTGCCGGCACCCCCCCCCCCCGGCACCCCCCCCCCCCGTGCCGGCACCCCCCCCCGGTGCCGGCACCCCCCCCCCGGTGCCGGCCCCCCCCCCCCCCCGGTGCCGGCCCCCCCCCCCCCCCCCCCCCCCCCGGTGCCGGCCCCCCCCCCCCCCGGTGCCGGGCACCCCCCTCGGGGGGGCAGCATGGCGCGGGGGGGGGAGGCGAAGACCCCCTCCTCCCTCCCTCCTCCTCCTCCTCCTCTCCTCCCTCCTCCTCCTCCAGGCGGCAAAGCAGCTCCACTTCGAGAATGGTGGTTCTTATGCTAGTTGCACCATAGGTACAGCTAGGTATAAGATACTTATAGCAAGGGATAAGTACCTAAGTATTTCTAACTATTTCTATGTGCCCTTAAGTATTTGTCTTGTCGCATAACTATACTTAGGTTAGTTATAAGTATTTCGCTGATTATTAATGACGCTGGAAGATACTTATAACTACCGCTAAGTTACTTACCCGTGCTGAGATGCAATACTTATAAGTAACATATATGTTACTTATAAGTAACTTATAACTTCCTTCCATCCCTCCTTCGCTTCTCTTCCCCTCCCGCCGCGCGCCCGCCCGCCGCGCCGCAGGGACGTCGCGGCCCGCGGCCCCCACGCAGAAGAGGACGAGAAGGAGGGCGAGGATGAGGACGAGGAGGAGGAGGAGGAGGGGGAGGAGGGATGAGGAGGAGGAGGTGGATGTAGTTTTCAGGAACGATTTTCGGATTTGGGGAAATTGTTTTTTGGATTTGGTGAGGTTTTCTGGATTTGGGGAGGTTACCTGGATTTGAAAGAGGTTTTTCAGGATTTGGGATTTGCCCATCGACCTGGAGCTCGTCGCGGCGCCGCCTGGTGGGTGCTCGCCGCGGTAGCGATGGCGATCGCTTGGGTGGGGAGGAGGGGGATGGGGAAGGTAGCGATGTCGATCGCTTGGATGGGGAGGAGGAGAAGAAGCGATGGCGATCGCTTGGGTGAGGAGGAGGGGGATGAGGAAGGTAGCGATGGCGATCGCTTGGAGGAGGAGGAGGAGGAGGAGGAGGAGGAGGAGGAGGAGAAGCGATGGCGATCGCTGGGGGAGGTGAAGCGATGTCGATCGCTTGGAAGGAGGAGGATGAGGACGGGAAGGAGGAAGAGAAGCGACGGTGATCGCTTGGGGGAGGGCGGGGTGGGGGGAAGAGGACGAGGGGATAGCGATTACGATCGCTGGTCTTTTGTTTTCGCGCTTGCGGGCGCGCGGCGCGCTCCGCGCTTGCGGGCGCGCGGCCTCACCGCGGAGGCGGAGTCGACGGCGGCGGCATTTGCGCCTTCGCCGCCGCTGGCGCCGCTGGCGGCGCTGGCGGCGCCTTCGCCGCCGCTGGCGCTTTCGCCGCGGCGCGCGCCGCCTTGGCCTTCGCCGCCTTCGCCGCCGCCTTCGCCTTCGCCGCCGCCCCCTTCTCCTTCTTCTCCTTTTTCTCCTTCTTCTTCTTCTTCTTCTTTTCCGCCTTCTCCGCCCTCAGCTGCGCATTTTCCGCCTGAAGGCGCGCCTGCTCCTCCCTCCGCAGCAGCTGCGCCCCCTGCGCCTCCTTCCTCAGCTGCGCGTTCTCCGCCTTCAGCTCCGCCTCCCGCCGCAGCGCCGCGTCCCTCTCGCCGATCGCGATCGCTAGCTCGCGCTCCGCCTCATTCGTCGTCGTCGTCGCCGCCGCCGTCGTCGTCGTCTCGTCGTCATCGTTTCCCGCCTCCTCCAGCCACAGCGAGAGCTGCACGGCGCGCTCTGTCTGCTCCGCGTTGACAGTCTGCAGAGGCGGGGGGAGGGGGAGAGGGGCGGTGGAGTGAAGGGAGGAGGGGGTGGGGGGAGGGGCGAGGAGGGGGAGGAGGGGGAAGGATGAGGTGGAGGAGGAGGAGGAAGGGGAGGAAGCGGAGGAGGAGGATTCGGGGGAGAGCGATGGCGATCGCTGGGAGGAGGGGGTATCCGCCTCCGCGAGCTGCTGCAGCAGGTTGTCGCGCTGGCGCCTGAGCGCCAAAGCGCGAGCCCCCTGCGCGAGCTCGCGCGGAGCACCCCACATCGCGCCTCCGCGCCCCGCGCGCGCGAGCCCCGCGCGCCTCCACGAGGCAGAGCGGCTGCGCGCGGCGCTCAGTGATCTCCTTTATCATCATCCACCTTCCTTTCAGCGATCGACATCGCTTTCCTTCTCCTCATCTTTTTTCCTTCTCCTCATCGTCATCGCCGTCGCTTCACCTCCCCCAGAAGGAGGAGGAGGGGCGACGGGGGGAACAGCGATGGCGACCGCTTGGGGGAGGGGGGGAGGGGGGAGTAGGACGTGCACGGACCGAACCCTACGGGTTGCAAAAACAAGAGAGGAGGAGGAGGAGGTGGAGGAGGGATCATAGGAGGAGGGGGAGGGACGGGGGATGTAGCGATGGCGATCGCTTGTGTGAGGAGGAGGGGGATG